CCTTAAATTCGTCATTGGTATTTATCTACGTGTAAAGTTGGAAACTTTACGTGTTAATCAACCCCTAAGAACCCAGATCTATGGATGGAATGCACTGGGTTCAAGCAGAATCGAGTATATAGTGATTGCATGCATGCGACTCGGCGAGTTGAGTTGTGAGTCCCCGATTTTCCCCTTTTGAGTTATAAGCTGACTCAGTGAGTCGGAAGCCAAACTCAGTAATGGAGGGACTCGGCGAGTCGAATGGATATCTATATGGAAGGAGAACTCGTCGAGTAGGGATGGGAGTGAGGACAATCGAATAGACAGGGACTCGCCGAGTTAGCAAGCCAACTCGGCGAGTCGGGTCAACTGGAAGTTGACCTTGACTTTGACTTTTGACTTGGTTAGGGGTAAAATGGTGATGTTACCCTAAGGACAATTACTAGTGTTTGATTGAGTGTTTCGTGGGAATTACAGCCGGAGGATTTTCGGAGCAGCAGCAGCAGCAGCAGACAGACAGTTCCCGCAGAAATCAACAGCTACTTCGAGGTGAGTTACCTTCCAGTAGCGGTGGGTCCACAGCCATAATGTCGGCCCACTAGTAGGAGTTGTGTGTTAAATGATTGTCTTTGTGATATCATCTAGTTTTACTACTACCTGATATGTTATATGCTAGCTTGATGTGTTATAGTAGTAGAGTTCAGTTGTTAGGATCGAAAGGTAGTCAGACACCCCAGATACGTCTGACAGTATGTGATGTCATCATTATATGCTAGCATGTTTTGGGATATGTGTTAGGGGTAGTAGGAGGGGAACAGTCCCCAAGTTCGGTTGTTAGGACTGAAGGGTAGTCAGACACCCCAAATGTCTATCTAATAGTATGTTATGATATGATATGTGATAGTAGTAATGGTAGGGATGAAATAGTCCCTAAGGTTCGGTTGTTAGGACCGAAGGGTGGTCGGCACCCCAGAAATGCTTGACAAGTATGGTATATTATATGATTGTGATGTATGTTATATGATTGTATGGTATGTGGCAGTTTGGGGGAACTCTGTAAGCTTCGTGCTTACAGTTTTCAGTTTGGTTTCAGGTACCTCTTCATCAAAGGGGAATGAGCTGGCGCGGTAGCGATACATCATACACTTGCACTGTTTTCCACCTTACGAGATTGTTCTGGGATTTGTACTCTGATATTTAGTTGATTTCGTATTTTGGTTTTCAAACATGATTTATGATTGTGGAAGGATTTGATCAGATAATGTTTTATTTACAAATGCTTTCCAAAGTATTGATTTAAAAATAAAAATTTTGGACGTGAAAATTGGGCTGTTACAAAATGAACTGATAGTATGTCTCTTTTCTAATATACTTGACTGTAAAGTATTTGTACGAGAGTATATCGTTAAACTTTGTATAACTTATTAGTGAAAATAGTTTGAGAGTTCCATAAATTATACATATTATAATTTATATGTGTGTTCTGTTTGATATGTAATATTCACGAAAGTATCTCCTTTGCTCAACATGTTACAAGGGAATATAAATCTAATTGAAATAACTTATATAGTGTGCGAACGTAAAAACATTATTTTTATGTTATTATTCTGCAATGAATTTCGCCTTCACCGATTTATGTCATTATTCAACAATGAATAAATGAATAGTTACAAGTTAAAATTAAAATTAGAATTTACTATAAAAGTACACATACATTCATTGAAGAGTTTTTATAACATTTAAAAGAGTTTGACACTATTTAAATGACTTTCAGTAATTTAAAGTTGATTTGTATTCACCCCTAAAACAGTGAGAAAAAAAAATAAAAAAAAAAATAAAAAAAAAAAAAACTACAGGGGTATGAACTCACCTTTTATGAGTTTCCGGTTGTAGATATGGTGTAATAGAGCTAAATCCACAAGTTAAAGCTCGGGATAAGATCGAATCCTAATTTATATTAATAAAAAATTAAGTATAAATTAGATAATCTAATGAAGTTTAAAGTGGTAAACAACATTATTGTAAAATGACTTACAATAATTTTTAGAATAATGTATGGTCGTTTTTCGTGTTCTTCGTGTTCTTCGCGTTCTTCATGTTCTTTGTGAAAACTAGTGTGATTTGGTGTTTTCGACCCAATATATGAAGATTGAAAGGTGTTTTTGCAATGAAAATAAGATCAATAAATGATACTTGCAAGATCCTTAAGAAGAATAAAGGGATTTTCGAATGATGATCAAGAAATGGGAGAAGTTTCACATGTTCTTTAGAAGAGAGGAGTTTTCGGTTGAAGTAAAGATAAAAGTTGGAGTTTTTGGCTGAATCTTGTAAAAATGAGGAGCAACGGTACCAAGAAAATGAAATGAAAAATATTTTGAAAAATATAGGGAAACTAGGTTTGATTATGCTATTAGTAAAACTAAAGAATTAGAAGATAATATTCAAGTTGATGCACCAAGAAAACAAGAAAATGAAAAGAAAAATATATTCAGAAATAAATATATTAGCTAGATATTTTATTTTCATCTGGTCGGTCTTATCTGGGTTTGATGCACCAAGAAAACAAGAAAAGAAAAAGAAAAATATTGTTGTTAACCTGTGGGTTTTGTTGGTAAGACACGATTATATCTCAATTATAGATGTTTGTTGCGATATTTTTTTTCTATCTCAATTTATAACTTTATTGTTCTTCATTGCAAGCATTTTTTGCTTACTTGTATGCTAGAGTTACGTCATGTAATTAATATAGACATCCTAATAGAGAACATTAGAGCCACCAACTCCCTTATTAGGTGCCATTATCAGTTGTGAAGTTAATCTCAAAAAGACCATATACCTAAATATAAGGACAATGTAGATAATTTGTTACAAAATTTACATGATAATGGATATTACATTATTTATGGTTCATATCTACATTAAACACCCAGAATTTTGAGGAGCAACTTTGGGTATAAATCAACTTTTGAGGATTGAACACGGCGTGTTCAGATAAGAAGAGGCGCGAGTTTCATTTTGGGCAACACGGCGTATTACCTCTTGGAACACAGCGTGTTGATGGCTGGAATGAAACCCTAATTTTCCTGGTTTTGCTCCCTATTTAATGGAATGTGGAGGCTAGGGTTTGTTCACCTTTCCCTCCCATGCATATAGAGATTAGGTCATAAATCCTCATTTTGACCTAATATGGGTTCAAGACATGCATTGGACATATATGTCTAAAAAGCACCAACCTTTGGAATGGTTTAGGTGTTAGAATCACTTCTGAAAAGGATGGACTTCAAACTTTCAGGATTAAGTGTGTATTGGTTAAGCCCTTGCTTTATCAAGCTTTATGGTTTGGGTTTTGGACCTTTTTGATCGTCCCCAATGAATAAATTTATTGAAGAGGCAGCTGAATGTATTAAGTTGTTGGAACTCAGGCAAACACAACGTGTTTTGGCTGAGGTTTTCCCAACTGTTTGGTTGCTGGCATGGCCAAGGGGAACACCGCGTGTTGGGTCAACATGGACTATTGACCTTGACCGTTACTTTGACCAAGTTGGACCTTGAGAGTACTTTGGGTATTTTGGGATTTTGATGGAATTGGTCACTTGGTGGAAACAGGTATCGGTTAGAGAACTGAGATTCGGAGTCGGTCCTCATAGTTTTGTTCGGTCTACAATGTGAGTTTTCTTCACTGCTCTTACGGGACGAAGGCACCAAAAGCGACTCGTTTGCTTGATAATTTGATATTTGTTGGTATGCCGAGTATGGAATAGATATGCATGATTATGTTAGTTATTGATATGTTAGTCCGGTAGATCGGTAGGACTACCTATGATTCTGTCTACATGATTATCTGTATATGTTTTTATTTGTAGACATATTGTGTTGGGTTGAGGTTGTACTGCTTCGTGTTGTAGCCAACAAACCCTAGAGCATTCCAAATATGAGCTGAGGATCGAGTGGTATGCCAGACTCATACTGAGTGCTCAGATTCATTCCAGATACGAGCTGAGGATCGGGTGGTATGCCAGACTCATACTAAGGGCTTAAGGGTATTGGAACATTCCAGATATTAGCCGGGTAGGGCATGCTAGACTCATACAGAGAGCCCAGTAGCAAGCCATACATAAGCTTTGGGCCCCGAGGGCATGTTATTTGAATATGTTGTTTGGTATGCCGGACTCGTGCTTACAGTTTCAGTTTAATTTAATGTTTCGGGTGCTTCAGATGATTGTGGCGAGACGAAGGCATGACGGTACGCATTCTTGGTTTTACAACTAATTGGATCATAGGAGACTCATTTTAAAACAAGTTTTGGAAACGATGGTTTTGTAAACACAAATACAATAATAGCTTAAATTATCCTATACATTTTATAACAAATAATCGTCTTATTTTTTAAGATTAACTTAACACCAATGACAAATAAGAAAGGATAATAAAGGGGCTATGATGTTCTCTAATTGAAAATTTATATTAAATAAATAATGTTAACTTTGACACACGAACAAAGAAAATGTATGCAATGAAAAACAACAAATATTATAAACTGAGATACTTTAAAAAGAATATAAAAACAAAAAATTATAACGGATATAGAATTTTGTTTTCGTAACAGTTCCAAAGGTTTGCATGTAATATTTTTCTTTTCATTTTCTGGATTACTCGATGTACAAGCCCACGACAAAGGCAAAAAATGTTGTTGTCGAAGCATAATTATTCATTTTGGCTAAATTTTCTAAAAATTGAAGAAAATCAAAAGAAATACTTATCATATCACATGTGATGATAAATCAAACCACAAACAAAAAAAAAAAAAAAAAAAAAAAAAAAAAAAAAAAAAAAAAAGACTTTCATCCTTCGATTATCATTTTTGTCCTTCACCAATTCAGTTATTCTCATACTTAGGTTCATCTTACCCTTTAAAGCAAACATTCTTTCAAATCCATCATAATTAAGACTCTTGAATGATGTTACTAACTAGTTTGCCCAAAGTCAAACAAAAACATCTTCCTCGCATGGAGGTGATGGACATTAATGTTAAACCAATTGTTTTCCGTCTCATAATAATTTGGTAAATGTTTCACCACATGAGTTGTACCTTCCTAAATTTCAACCAAAATTTTTCATTTTTAAGAGTATAAAGACATCCACTTCATTCAATTTCAAATCATAAAACCATTGTAAACCATAAATCAATGTATCCAAAACCCAAAGTATAAAACATAATCATGCGGAATATCAAATATAGCCAACAATTCGTGTGCGGTATAGTTAAACTTGAGTTTTTCCCTGATCAAAGAAATACCTGAAAAAAACATTTAAATCCATAATTATAAGCACATAACTTGATAAGTTCCCAAAAACAATACACATACAATGCATACAATCAATGGATCACAACTTGTTAGTGTTTCACCAATACGTACATACAAGGGCTTACGCCCTCTCATCGTTTCACCCATCTACGACGTATATGTGTGTATATGCACTTACGACCTCTTGTCGTTTGGTCTTCAACACGAGTTTTGTTGGCACACGACTCGTCATTTGCTATCAACTCAACATACTAACATACGAACAAATCATAAAGACAAGCTAACAAACATACAGTATACTACACTTAGTTTACTCATACAACTCTACTCTAACAATACTTAGCATCATATATGCCTATCACAAGGATACAAATTGTCTACATAGTATAATGAAATTCTCGATTGTGATCTTAAACAGTCAGCAACACGAACCACCTAATGCCATAGGGGTCAAACCTAAGTCTATGACTCAAAACCTCCAAAGTTTGATCAAAAGTCAAATTGTTGAAAAAGTTAACAATCAACGGACCTACACGCCACATACACTAAATGCTAAAACAGTCAAGTGACTCCTACGCTACACTCAACGTAGTTAGTGCTAAGCACGGCGTAGGGCGGCCAGATTCAAATCTTCATTAAGTACTTAATTCATTAAGCTAAGGGTTCAAATTCCCAAATCTCATTCTTCTAAATGAATCCATTTCCAAGGCTTAAATTTCTCCGATCTTCCACCCTAATTCAAAATGTGACCAAAGGGGACCAAAATCCATATGTAGCTTAATGAGAGTGCATTCATTCTCATTTTTCTTGTTCTAAATGATCAAAAACGTCTGAATGACAGCACATAAGTTCCGGAGGACTTCAAACTCTACAATACCAAGATTATGGGACCAAGATACACCAAACATGCTAGAAAGCTAGATCCATAAGAGTAGAATCATAAAGGTATGAACTTTATACCTTCGATAGGTGAGAAATGAAGCACAAGGTCTAGATCTCCATTGGAAAGGCTTCTCCTTGTTTCACAATGACTTCACTCTTTCTAAAACTTCACAAATACACACTCCAAAGCTCCAAACTCTCACAATAGGATTAGGGTTCGCTCAAAATGTAACAAAGGGACGGGGGCTTTAATAAGGAAGGTTGCAAAGAGAGTTAAGGCTCTTAAATAGGACTCAAGACGTTATGGTTAGTATTTTGCGTTGCATCAGCTAGCCTTGGCATAGCCTTGCCTTACGTCCGACATAAGATTTGCGACCAACTTTTACCCAACTACGCGTCGTGTGGGGAAGCTATACGTGTCGCGTAGGGGCAAATTCCATATTCTTGACATTAGTAAAGATTAACTTCCCATCTCAAGATTTATAGTGTTACAACTCTCCCCTACTTAAACTAGATTTCGTCTTCAAAATCCAACATCGCTAACAACCTTAGATATGGTCGATATACACTACCTTCGGTTTTTTGATTTTGTTTCGGAGGTTACAAAGTTGCTAATGACTCGTCATCAACCAACAAGTGGTCTTGACAACCTCCCTTCCAACAATCGGATTTCATGGAACTTACCCTAAATGGCTTCCTGAAATTACTATCGTCATACAAACTGCTAACCTCTTCGTAATCATCTATCCCAATGTTAAGAACCTAACTGAGCTTCCCACTAGCACGCCATTAGTGCTTCCCAGATTTGTTGATTCCTTCTTCTCGAGATTACATATCAACTACGCTCATTCATCCACTTACAATCGTTATCGACATACAATATGATTATATCAATCATTAATAATATTACTTGCCATAAACTCATATCCTCTATGGTTCCACTATAGTCGTACGTCACCCTACTAACAAATATCAAATCACCACTTGCCACATACACTTCACTAATAGACCTCACGCCAGTCTCCGTACGCCCTAGACACTTGTATAAGTAATGTTCCTAAATCCTACGACCCGAACTACTGTCCCTAATTCCCAACATACATCTCATAGCATCTTGAGCCTACAAACCCGAGGCATAAGATTTGTAGATCGACAAATGTTAAAGTTTAACCAGACATCAACACATGAATGTTATGGGGCAACCATAGTCTTACATCAACATACAAATGTTATGGGGCAACCATAATTACATCAACCCATAATCGCACAACTACCAAACAAAAGACCATTCATCATAGGACGTGAAACGAACCTCAATGAAGCTTGGGATAAAAAAAGCAGGTGTTTAGATTGTGTCTCATATCCCCAAAGCCCTAACTAGACAAGAACATGCATGGGGATCGTCAACAAACCCTGAGACCCACTACCATCCTCAAGAGTAGACCGCACACACATCAATCCTGATACTTTATGGAATATCTAACATTCTTCTTGGGAATTTCGTCCGAAAATCTTCCCGTCTTAGCTAACTTTACGAACATCCTACTTCTTTTCTCTTCTCTAGGAAAGTCGATGTCAATGATAAATATAATTGCCAAGCCTTCGCATGATGATACCGACGAGATTGATCTTGGAAAACCACAATGCACCCTAAAACTAAAACTGGTCGAACAACACCTCAAACCTTGGTAACGGTAACATTTCTTCTTCACGAGCTTATAAAGCTCCCTATAATAGTTTGCATCCTATCAAACCATCCCTTTTTTCCAACAAACCAAAACTCCTCAAAGTGAACAATTTGTCCAACGAACTTCTTGTCCTTACATCCTCTGAAGCTGCATGGATAACACATGCCCTCAGTACGAGACATTATGGTACTATGGCGAGCAGGAACATATCAGAGACTTACAGCTCGATCCTAAACTTCACCTGCCCTCCATGGCATTCCCGACAATCCATCAGAAAAATCATCGCGAACTTACATATAATAGATACATCGGCAAATAAAATCAAGGTAGGCACAAAAGTGACTAGAGGCATTTCGATTCATATATGAACAATAAACACATGCTAAAACAATAGCTTGATAATAAAAGGAATACTTACTAGTAATAACGTCCGGTGGGAAAAGCATCACCATACCAATAGCCTGGATAATCCCTCGTCATGGCCCCAGAGGTCTCCACCCAACTTTGGCGCCCATCCATAAAACTCAATATCTCAGGTGTCGGTGTTAGTGTCGACACCCCCGCTAATATGGGACACTCGGCTTTAAGGTGGCCAGGTTGGTCGCAATGATGACACCTCTTCTTTTCCTTGCAATCTCGACTGAAATGACCTTCTCGTCCACATTTGAAACACATTGTTCCATGACATGTACCCTCGTGCCTCTTCTTGCATTTATCACAATGATCATGGTTCCCTTGGCCTAGGTCAGACTCGATTGGGGACGAGCTCTTCTCCTGAAAACGGATCAAAAACTCCTCCCATGACATACCCTCCAGCTCAGCCACAGTAATAGATTGGATGATCGTGCTCCAGCAACCGATCGCCGCATGGCGTAACAGGTACATAGCGAACCGGACCCTTGCCCTCTCAGGGCAAAAGCCTGAACAAAAGGCACTCTCCATTTCCTCTATCCATCGCATGCTAAGAATTCGTTCCTTCCTTCCCTTGAACATGGAAGGTTGACCCACAGACATGTCACGGTAAGTGACATCCCTAATTCCCAATTGTCTTGCCCATCCAACATTTGGATGCCTCTCGTTGAAGATCTCTAACAACTCCTCCGTAAGTCTTGCCACTGGGACTGAAATTGCATCGGACAAGGCTCGTGATATCTCCGACGCAATCAATCCTCGTAGGTTCGAGTCACCCGGACCTGATATGCCATGCCTATACTGCCCCATACTGAAGAAAACCAAAAGAAAAAGGTCAGAACGCATTCATAATGTTACCCACATATGACCAAGTACATGTTCCACAAAAACATTATATACTGCCTTCCACACCTATTCGTACTTGTCCAAGAGTTGCCCCAAAGTTCTAAGTCACCTTTAACCATCAACACAAGATGTCCTATCACACACGTATGTACCTATACCAATACACAATAACAATTTCCTAGACTCTCTAGGATTCCCCCACTAACCTAGCAACGAAGAAGTTTCTTTTAGAATCGTTGCCGCCTCATGAATGCATAGTTGTATGTAATCAATAACTAGATAGACAGTCGAATAAGCGATAACACATAACACTTCAAATAGCACATAACAGTCAAACATCAAACAAAAGGCATCACAATGATCAGGTTATCCTAACATGTAATTCCTAAAATATCCTGAGCCTACCAACAAGCATGCATTGCTAACAGATCACATATCAACAATATAACAATATGAGCATATTTTGGGAATCACTTTCGTTTTCGAGCTCCATCTGACTGTACGCATCGCATCTTTCACCTTTGTGCCAAAAGTTTTTATTTAAAAGTTTTGTAAAAATTTCTCAAATCCTCGGTTTGAGTTTAGACACATACAAGCATTAATCCAAATCGCTCAAACCAAGGGTCTAATACCAACTTATACCATCCTAAATTTCAACCAAAATTTTTCATTTTTAAAAGAATATAAAGACATCCATTTCATTCAATTTCAAATCATAAAACCATCATTTGTAAACCATAAATCAATGTATCCAAAAACCAAAGTATCAAAACATAATCATGTGGAATCTCAAATATACTCAACAACGATGATTGTGTGGTACAATTAAGTTGGAGCTTTTCCCCAAGAGGAAATACTTGAGAAAACATCTAAATCCACAAGTGTAAGCACAAAGTTTAGTGAGTTCCCCAAAATACCCAATAAAACAATACACATACAATGCATACAATCAATGGATCACGACCTCTCGTCGTTTCACCAATACATACATATAAGGGTTACGAACTCTCATCATTCACCCATACCTATATACAAGGGCTTACGACATCTCATCATTTCACTCATCTACGTGCATCAGGACTTACAACCTCTTAGATTTTTCATCTTTAACATGAGTGTGTAGGGCAAACAGCCCCTCGTTGTTTGTCATCAACTCAACATACTGACATATGAATAAATCATATACAAAAGCTAACAAACATACAGTATACTACATTTAGTCTACTCATACAACTTTACTCTAACAATACTTACATCATATCATACAAAGATACATATTGTCCACATAGTATATGATATAGGAGAGACTTAATAGTTTTTTTTTTCTTTTTATTGTTATTTCCTTTCCTTTTTTATTATTATTGTTATTTCCTTTATTATTATTGTTCCTCTCTATATACAGAGAACCTAATTTAGTTGGAAGATAACAATAGATTTGTTTTTTTTTCAGGGTCATGATTTTTTTATTCTGGTGGATTTTTTATTATTGTTATTTCCTTTATTATTATTATAACAATCGCTTGTTAACTTATTTTCATTCTAGGTTTTTCCTACTGCATCAGGTGGTATCAGACCTGTCTCGTTTTGAAGCTTGATCAGCCATGGAAGGCCACCAATTAACCAAAGCAGATCTTCAGGGTTTTACGGAGGCTATTACAACGGCCCTAACTGCTTGACTGATCAGGTAAGAGCATTAACAACTCATATTAACACCACAGATCAACCAAGAAACAGAGGAAGAGAATGGAATGGGGATCCAAGAGCCAAAAACAATTGTTTTGTTTTTGAAAATTCAAGTTCTAATGAAGAAGATCCTATAGAAGATAGGATTGACCAAAGAAATCGACAGATTAATAATGATTATCGTGTAAAGGCTGATATTCCTTTGTTTTCTGGAACAATGGGAGTGGAGGATTTTATACAAGGGCTAAATTTGGTTAGATTTTCAAAATACAAGGGAATAGAGATAAAAGGTTGAAACTATAATGTTATAATTGGTAACCCAAATTAGAAAATAAAAAGTTTAAAAATTTTATAACCCAACGTCTTAATAGTATAATGCCAAAATTGGTAAGATTTTCAAAGTACAATGTTTTAATAGAAAAAAAAACAAGAACATTGTCTCGATGATTTCATTGTAATAAAATGAAAAAATTATGATATAAGTTGTAAATAAAGGAAATTAAAAAAAATGATTATATTTAAATGTCCTAAATAAAAAATGGTACAAGTTGTACCAAAATAAAAAATAAAGAAAAGTATTTACAAAGTACAATGTTTTAATAGGTTAGATCTTGAAAGTATAATGTTATAATTGGTTAAATTTTCAAAGTCAATGTCTTAATTAAATTACAATATCTTAATAAAAATTGTTGAAAGTATAATGTTATAGTTGGTAACCAAAATATTTATAAAAAAAATAATAAATAAATAAATAAAAAAGAGTTAAGACTTAAAAAAAATTCAAACTATAATTTTATAATTGATTAAATTATCAAAGTGCAATGTCTTAATAGGAAAGAAAGTTAAAAGTTCATTGTCTTAATAAGAACAAACTTGAAAATATAATGTTATACTCCCTCCGTCCCAAAATTATAGTCCATCTTTCCTTTTTGGTTTGTCCCAAAATAATAGTTCACTTTTAAAAATAAATAACATTTTTACCAAAATAATCCCTCATTATTATTTAACCAACTAAACATTTAATAGAACATTAAATGCAAAGTAAGGACAAACTATCATTTTATTGAATAAAGTTAGTGGTAATTAATGTTTCTTTAATTTGTGTATTTTTGTCATTTTATTGTATAAAGTTAGTGGTAATTAATGTTTCTTTAATTTGCATGTTTTTTGTCTGTGACAATAATTTTGAGACGGATGGAGTAATTTGTAACCGAAATAAAAAAAGTTGAGATTTCAAAGTACAGTGACTTAATAGAAAAATAAAAAGAATGCAATGTTTGAATAGGTTAAATATTGAAAGTATGATGCTATAACCGGTTATATTTTAAAAATATATTGCCTTAATTAGGGGAATTTTTTTTTACCATGTCCTAAATCCAAAGAGGAAAAAGATTTTAATTACAATTGGTGCAGATCACTATCTAAGGCAATGAGGTCGCATCATGGGACACTATTTTCTTATGTGTTTCTTCTTAACAACATTCATTATCGACATACCAACTTTTGAGACAATACAACAACGATTGATCATTTTCACACTATGTCCTAAATCCTAAAAGGAAAGAGATTATAATTACATTTAGTTATAATCACTATCTATGACAAAGGGGTTGCATTTATATTAAGGAACAAACAAAGTAAAATTTAGTCACATACCTTGGCATCATATGTGGTCGTTTGGCTTTTTCTTAGATTGCTAGGAGTTCTCTCAACTAATCCGGTTTTCCTATCAAAAAGATGATGCTTTAGATAATAATAATAATAATTGATACAGGTAGAAAAACATAAATTAAAATAGATGAGCTGACTTTACAATCTTCAGATATTTACATAACATGGTGCAAAAGCTTCACTTGCTTCTGTGTAACTTTTTGTTTTTTAACCTCAATTCCAACAAGACACTATTTGAAATCAGAAACCAAAACTTCTATTGTATGCATTTTAATTTGAGTAATCACTTTCATCTTCCTTTTGAAATCAGAAACCATAGTTTGTCTCGTAACAGTTTCCTTGAAATCTTTTAGAATGGTATTCACAATCAAGAACAAAAGGCCATCTGAATTAAATCCACAAACTAACAAGTATGCATATGTTACTCAACTGAATTGAAGATTTTGAACATTGCATAAACCTGGTCCAAGAACATAATCATAAACTAACTAAAATAAAGAATAACACAAGAACAATAATTGAGGCTTAGCAATATCGATTTCCCCTATAGGGGTGGTGGGTTTCAATTCCAAAATTAATAAAAATAAATTATCATTGGTCAAAAAATGTCATCCTTTTCTAGATTACACTAATAACCTTTTCTAGATTACACTAATAACGCTTAACAAAAAGGACAAGAAGCAGAGAAAACAAACAAGAAATTACAGACTTGAATAAAGGGAAGAACTTGATGAAAACCGATCGCTTTTTAACAACCCTCACAAATTAATTTGAGTTTCAAAAATAATACGACGACTGAACATCGAAACAGTGTAAAAAGATATATATACTTATTAAGAAAAAAAAAATAGGCGTGTGAAGTTGGGAAAAATAAATTTGCAATTGATGTAGAAGAGAAGTAAGAATAGGTGTCGCCGAGATGACTACCAGAGAGTGGTTCTTATGAGAAGACGGAAGAGGCAAAGCGTTCGCACGATTAATAAAAAGGATAAAGAGCGGCGGCAACCGGTATCGAAGGGATGATATTGATTGGGGTCGAATGATGCAATTAACCAGCTACTGTCATTTGGGGGCTCTTCCTCACATACGGTGGCATCTAGGGTTTTTTTTTTTAGGGTGTTTGGATTTGGTTATTGAAATAGCTTATTTGATTTATTGGTATTTTTTAAAAGTCAAACAAGTTTAAAAAAAATGTTTGTAAGTATATGCAAATAAAAAATGTTTTTTTTTTCTGTGAAGGTATAAAAAAAAAAAAGTAAAAAGTAATAATAGTTCGCTTTTTTTTAATGATTTTTAACTTTTTAAAATTGAAATTACCTTTCTAACCTCAAATTATCTTAAATATTGGTTATTTTGCATGTATAGGATAAACCAAATATTTTTTAAAAACAATTAATCAATTTATTGACTTTTGTTACCACAAAAATAAATCGAAATATTATTAAAAAACTCATTTTCCTATCATCATAAATCAATAAGCAATTTTTGGCATTAAATACGCAATCTAAACTCTCTTTCATGTCTTTAGTTTTCATAAAAAAAATATTTCTTAAAGTCTTTATAAAAAAGATCGGTGGTGTTTGTGTTGGTAGTAGTGACCGATGGTGGTAGTGGTGAGGTGACGGTGGTGTTGGTGTTGGTAGTGGCGAAGGTGGTGATGCTGGAGGATGAGGTGTCGGAGGTAGTGGCGGAGATGTTGGTGGTGGTGGTGGCGAAAGTAGTAGAGGCGAAGGTGGAGATGGCAACAAAGTGGTGGTGGTGGTGGTGGAGACAGAGGCGAAAATAGGTATGGTGGAGGTGAAGGTGGCAGAGGAAGATGTGGAAGTGGTGGTGAATGTAGCAGAGGCGGAGTTATGGTAGTGACAAAGGAGGTGGTGGCAGCACTTGTGACAAAGGTAGAGATAACAATAACAAAGTTTGAGGCAACAGAGGCAGTGATGTGGTGGCAACATTAGGGTTATAACTTATAAAATGTCTTCTAAAATCTTAAGGAATTTTTTGTCTTCTAGTAAAAGATGTCAAAAATACTTTTTATGTTAGTCTTTTTCTTCAAATGTCTTTAAATTATGTACTTAAATTTTTGACAAATTTATGTCATTAAATATTATATGGTATTGAAACTAATTATGAAATGATAATTCGTACACTAAATTGATGTATAAAATTGCAACTATTTTAAACAAATTTACGGAGCTATTTGGTAGTCTCTTATTTGGAAAATTAAGAGACAACCCCTTAATTTTTCAAATTGAGGGTGTTGGTAGCATATGAATAAAAACATTTTAATGTTTTAAAAGCCTCTTAAACTTTAAGATGTGAGCATGTATCAAATAAAATTAAGAGACGTGCTTCCCTTTTTTCCCTCATAAGCATTCCTTCATCAAACTCCCACCCACCTTTGGTAGATCATCCCTTCGGTCTCCTCCTACCTCCAACCAACTCCAACAACGACCACCAACTCCATCATTAACCGCCTCCCCACATCCTCGACCTCACACAACAACGCCTCCCACGTGGTTGACCTCGCATACCTACAAATTTCGATGCCAAACTACGACTTTCTAGGCCAAGCTCCTGTAACGCCCGAAGATTCGGGCTACTCAATTTAGAGACGGTAAGTGTCAAAAAATGACTCTTTATAAAGAATTATTTAGAATAAATAATCTTAACTAGGTTGTAGTATATGTCACAAGATTTCCGTACATATAAGGAACGCTGAAATTTAAGTTATAATGAAGAAGTTATGACCAGTCGAAATTTCGCAATAAAACCGGCACAACATCAAAAATCGTAAAAAGTGAGTTTACGATAAAGTACTTTTTGTCCTTAGTGACCTAAACTAAATTTTTAGAGTACGTCTCCACCTACGTGTGGATATAAAGAACATAAAAAATGGAGCTTGTATGCAAAAGTTATGACCTTGCGAAGATGTAGCTGTTTGAGGGCATGACACGTGGCAGAAACCCTAGCTGCCTCAAGTCCACGACGTGAACATTAAGTCCACGGTGTGAAATTAGTAAAGGACACTAATCAAGGCTAGAAAAACATGTGTTAAGTCTACGGGAGTGATGTGTTAAGATCCCACGGCGTGGACATAAAGGCCCCGATGTGGAAATGTCATTCGGACACCTTTCGAAGCTAGAACGCAGATGGCAAACCTACGAGGTGATTCAGCCATCCGCCACGATGTGGACTTATAAGGCCACAATGTGGACATGTTTTTGGCAGCCTATAAATAGCAAGTTCGACCCTTGCTCTCCTTACACCAAACCTTTTTTTTCCTTTCTCTCGTTTGCTGAATGCGTTCCGTGTCCTGAGCCCGACGATCACGAACCGCTGACTATTTCTAGTTAGATTATATCAAGCACACTACAAGTGAGTGCATAGTTACTTTCACCTTACACACACACACACACACACACATATATATATATATATATATATATATATATGAAGTATTTAATATAAATTATGTGTTATGTGTGCATATTATATGTGTTTATGATATCTATGCTAGATGAACAAAATGTACATGTTTTATTCAATTTAAATTGTATATGTGTTTTATACCTATAAATTACAATGGGTAAAGATGGGTAGATGAAAGATGATATAGATCATGAGAAATGAAAGGTGAGAATGACAAGCGAAAAATAATGAGAAACACTGACCCAATCGTTGGCCCAGTCATCTAGCAGAGTATGGATGACAACCACGAACTATTCTAGACAATCTGGTCGACCACTAGCAGGTTCACAACCTGTAGGTATTGTGAACAATATGTTCACCCGGTGTACTCTAAAAACCCATTGATATGTATTGTGGGTGGACTCCTGTAACAACTCAAATTTTCAAATAAATTTTTCATTTAAAATAAAGTGGTTTCATTCAACCAATCATATTTATTTCATGTTCATATCAAATACAAATATAAAATTCCCAAGATCTCAAATAGCAGCAGTGTGTATGCATCATGCCGGCACCTTCCCACGGTCCTCGCTAGTACCTGAAATACATACATAACAACTTGTAAGCATAAATGCTTAGTGAGTTCCCCAGTATACCACTTACACATATACGCCTTTCCAGGCCCGGACCTTCCGGTCCACAGTACAATGCCTTCCGGCCCATATGATGATCGCCTTCCGGCCCATATGATGATCGCCTTCCGGCCCATAAGATGATCGCCTTCCGGCCCATAAGATAATTGCCTTCCGGCCCATAAGATAATTGCCTTCCGGCCCATAACATGATTGCCTTCCGGCCCATAAACATATATAACACATAATACATTTACTCTAACACATATATCACATATATCATATATCATACCTGACCTTCCTGTCACATAATACATTGCCTTCCGGCCCATATAAACATACATAGCATGCATAGCAACTATTCCTTTCAATTATAGCATATATATAACACATAACATATCCGACCTTCCGGTCACACAGTCAAACCCTTCTGGGTACAGTATGGTGAGAAGACTCACCTCGTGGTAATGCAAGCTATCAACTCTTGAAACTAATCGCACTCGATCCGCCGATCTGCAGACTCCCTATAATACCATATACTCTTATTAATACTCTTATCATTCAAGACAACTGACCCTAAGAATTTACATGCAGGTCAACTCTGGTCAACGGTCAACTTAACCGGACTCGTCGAGTGCAAAGGCGACTCGGCGAGTCTAGACGTCCTCCCCAAATTTCCCTGTTGTTCCCCTTCTACTCGTCGAGTATCCCTCTTGACTCGACGAGGTCCTCGTGGAAGAATCGCGGGGCCACCCCGACTCCACTCGCCGAGTCTGAAGAACAACTCGGCGAGTCCCAGTGAATCTTCAAGCTACTCGCCGAGTCTGCTCATCCGACTTGGCGAGTCCATGCCATGCAGTCGATCAACTGCTTCCTGAAACACGTATGGTCCCGAAACACACACTCATGGGACTATCTGGACCTCTAAACATCCTATTACTGGGGTATAAACACTT